AAAAAAAAAAAAAAAAAAAAAAAATCAGGGTCAAGTATTGGGGCAAGAACCTGAAAGATCAGAGAACTGGGAGCAACCGCCAGTAGCTTCCTACCTCTTCCATTCCTCTGTCCAAAAGAGGCCAGATCCTCTCTCCGCTCCACTTTATCATTTCCTGTCTCCTCTCTGTTCAGACCTCCAGACCTCTGGTTAACTATTAGCTAGCTCTGCCCTCTGACTCTGAGCTTTATTTGCCAGAACGCAAACAAAATATCACACAACAAATACCTTCTTGGAAGGAGTTGCTTAGAGACTGAGTGGAGGGTAACCAACTGATAAAAAACTTTTTTTTTTTAAAAAAGATTTATTTATTTATTAGGTATACAGAAGAGGGTGCCAGATCTCATTATAGATGGTTGTGAGCCATCATGTGGTTGCTGGGAATTGAACTCAGAACCTCTGGAAGAGCAGTCAGTGCTCTTAACCTCTGAGCCATCTCTCCAGCCCAGATTAGAAACTTTTGGAGAAGACAAATACCACAGGAATCTGAAAAAGTGTCTCTATGCCTCCTGCTCCAGGTCAATGCTGGCAGGCCTTTCTGCCTGCACAATTTCTGAGAGGTTCCCCGGAGCCAAAGAACCAGCATGGCTGCCCTCTGGTGGACAGTGATGGACACAAAGATGCTTGTTCTATGTGGTCACATAGCAGGGACTTTTTTTTTTTTTTTTTTTAATAGCTTTTCCTGGTGACTTCTGGGCCATGGTTGGAACATGAATGGCTGATGGGGCAGAGTGAGGTTTGATACTTTCTAATAGACCTTGGGAATCAGCTCAGGTCCATCTGTTCCCTCCCATCTCCTGGGGTCCTTGAACACTGCAATATAGAACAGAGGGTGGAATTCCCTGGCTTTGTCCCAGTGGGGCTTGATCACATCCTTTACCCCAGATTCTCAGTTCCAGTGCTGTGGGGGTGTGATCAGAACAGCTCCTGAGGAGCCTGGGGGTGCATCCTGTGGTTGGTGCGGTGCCAGCCACACTGTGCCCTGGTCCTGCATCAACAAGATGAGGGTTTCGGATGCTGTGATTCCCGGATCAGGAGGAGGAAGACCAGAGGACCCCAGAGCATGCAGCACATGGAGAGGCCAAGGTCTCTGTGCCCAGGAACAGTGCAGGTGTTCAACCTCTTTCAAGGCTTCAGGGAAGGTGTGGAGGCTGAGCCCCACCCAGGGCGAGCCCAGAAACCACACCAGAGTTGCAGTCACCTTCCTTCTTCCTGGAGTGTCGGGGAAACTTCTGGCCCCCAGCAGGTGTATCATGGAGCTGGCCCTGTCTGCCATCCTATTTGCCCTCTTTCCTGGAGCCCTGCTGGGGAGTGAGAACCTCACAGCGGACTCCTACAGCTTGTCGCCTGTGACAGACAGTAGCGTTAACCTGGATTCAGGTAAGGAGGGTGGGTGGGGACAGCAGCTTCAGGAAGCTACATGAAATGTGGATTTTGTTGCCAGGGCGTTTGTGACTGTTTTTATTTTATTTTTTAGTTTTATTCTGTTTCTTTTAGTTTTGAGACCAGGCCTCATTGTACCTAGACTGGCCTCCGCTTTATTTTATAGTCAAAGCTGGCCTTCTGATCTTGATCCTCCTGCCTCAGCCTTCAAATCCTGGGGATACAGGAAGGAGCCAGCAGGAGCTGTCTGACCCTGGCTCCTCAGGGCCTTATGTGAGGCAGGTACTGTTAGGAGTCAGGCATGGCGGGGCGGGGGGAGAGGTACTGTTAGGAGCCAGGCCGTGGGGGG